AAAGATGGTCTTGTCGTTTTGAAGGATGTAGTCCTGCACGGCATTCTTCAGGTCCTTGTCCTGATGCAAGTCTGCAAGAATCAGACCCTCATACGCATTGTTTACAGTTAAATTGGATATCAAGAAAGCAGAGCACTTGCTCTTCAGGCTAAGAATTTGATACTTGTCTGCAGCCACATACAAAGCATGAGCAATCTCCCACTTTAAGTCTTCCAAAGTATCAGTGTACAAGTATAGCAGCATTCGATGTATCGTGTTAGCATCTATATCGGTAATATTGATGCATCCCGTTGTTTTCTCTTCCATGTCTTTTCTAAACATTTCTTTGAATCTGGTGGATCTGGCACTCAAAATGTTCTTGTGAGCTGAAAAGGTTTTCGTTGAGGTGCGCAATTCTGTGTCGCAAAACAGTCCCTCTGAGTACATCGACCTCAAAGCATCTGCTAATGGAACTGAAGGGGTAATTAATACGTTTTCTGCTGTTGTTTCTTTTCTGAATTCGGAAGAACTGGTTCCATGTTCGATTCTTTCGATTCCCTCAAAAGCAATTTTAGTGGAAAAGTCGCATTCACAATTCAGCGATAGCACATCGTTTGGTAAGTAAATATTACTTTTTTCCATCTTCTGTTTCGAGACGAAAAGAACTAATTTCCAATCGTAAAAAGTGTTTTGTACTTGAAATTCCAGCCTTCCGCTATTAAATCTGTTTCCTATTGCATCCATCAGAAAAGAGTTAAGTCTGAAAAATTTGATGCTTGGATTATAAAATTTGACACAGACGTTTATTGACTCCTCACAACAATGTCCGATCAAAAATAGTTCCAAAGTCACCATATGGTCCCCATGAGCAGATTTTATTTCATAATCCTTTCTCTCAGATGTTCCCATCTTGCTGAAATTTTCGATATTCCATACAAAAGACGCTTTGTCCATACTAATAATAGTATTCGCAAAAATTTTTACCCTTCCCATATTTCTTCTGGCGCTTGTACATATCCTACAAGAAGCTGTTAAAATGTCTTGAGACAAATACTTCGAAAGGAATACTTCGTCTCTCATTTTGAACAGATTTTTGCCTTTTGTTTGACCTTTCGTAAAAGTATCACTTGAAACAAAGTTTGGTTTCAGTATTTCGCCATCCTCTGTAAGGAATGAAAGCTCATAATCTATTTTTAGGCTTTTTGACCCTTTACTATTTTTTAGTCTTTTAAGGTAATAAGAAATGTAGTTTCCAACTGATTCCCCTTTTGGATACAACAGTAACTGCCATTGGCTCCTCTCTATCGCTTCCAGAGTAAAGATTGGACTTTCGATTTTCTTCCCGGTTCCATGCCAAGCGCCACTGAAGTTTTCAATTTTCCATAGAAAAGTATATCCTTCTCTTTCGGCATTCATTTTTGAAATATCGGGGTCGAATACAATCCAAATGTGTCGATTAAGAGAAAAACTAAACGGGTAAAGTTCAAAAGCTGCTTTTGAAAATTATCGCTGTTACGCAAAAGATAAAAATAAAAATACACACACACATCTCCTATTTCGATAATTCCAATTGTTTCAATTCCGCATACGTAAAGGTAAGTCACACATGCGCAATTCTCACAGCTTCCTAAAATGAAACTTTTCACATATCTTCTGATATCTATTTTTAATCTAATATATAGACTGTATGATAATGTCATCTTCGGCTAGAATTAAATATCAAACTATGTACAAATGATACGTTTGAATCTGTCTAAAACATATATAACCCGTGGAAAATAAATTTTAAAACTAAAACTATATTTATATATATATGTTATAAGTAGGAAAAAAAACTCCATTTCTATTTTTTAAAAAAATTCTTAACCTATATGTACTCGTACTTAATCGTGAACTCATACATGTTATTTATATGGGGTCGTGAGTTCTCGAATATTGTTCATACCGAACACTTGTTATAGATTTGTTGAACATTACATCGGGGGCCGTGGTAGCCTAGTGGTCAAGATATCGGATCGTGGCTGGCATATCACGAGTTCGATTCCAACACCACTAAAGACCCGCCGCGTAGGGGAGCGATGCACGTTGAATCTGCCGAGAGCTCAAACGTCCTCCCATTGGTGTAATGTGGTAGCTAGGAAAGGGGGTGCCAGCTCATGTGTTGTCCTCGTCACATGACCATGGTTCAAAATTACGCCAAAGGCCTTCGTGTAGCTAAACAGTGCGACACGTTAATATCCACTCACTACACGTTACATCGAGCTCTTCTCAAAATCTTCTTGTTGGTGGGATGTGGAAGCTAAAAGATTGGGTTGCCAGCTGAAATGTCGTCCTCTCTCTCTCTCTCTCTCTGGTCACTTAAGCGAAATTTAAAAAATTGCAAGGTACATCATCAATTACCCTTAAGTAGTTTGGAGATGTGACGTTAATAATTTTTTTTTCCTAATAATGCTGCTCATTGGTACTTTAACCTTTGAAGATCGAGTAGATTCCCTAGGAGCTGGTATCACTTTTCAGCGCGGCACAATACAGATGCGATATCAATTACCACAAGTAATTTGTTCGCCCATTTTCATCCCCAGAAGGAGGCACCTAAGCTCTGACAATGCGAACCTGTACTAGGATTTTAACGAGAGCACCCAAGCCAAACAGACATTCTACGAATCTTTTAAATGCCATATAATCGTACGACATGGCCGCTGTCGATTTTCTGCACCATGAAAATCCACCGATTTGGGCCGGGGTCGCACCCGCAACCTTAGGTGCAAAATGTCAGTGATAAACCAACCACACCACCCAGCCGGTCGTTAATAAATAATCAATCAACTTGATCGATTTTACTTTTATGTATTAGATATTCAATAATGTATCTACACAGAATTCTAAAATGAATTAAAAAGAATATATTCGTGTTTCGGGGAGGGAAATGAATCACACGCTTATTTTTTGTTTACATTGTGAATTTGATTCGGATCATAATTGTGCGTCCTTTTCTTTAAATAATCTGTATTATAATCTAGTTTATGATTAAGAAAGTTATTCTTTAAGATAAGTGTTATACAGATATATGAATTATAATGCTATTCACTTCGTAAAAAAGAAATTTGTGTTGGAACGAAAGAGAGCAAAAAGAAAAAAGAAATCTTATAAAAACTACGCCATTTATTTCCATTTCGTTTCAGACATGCACTTAAACCATATTAATTGGAAAATAAGCTATTTTAATAATTTATCTTTTAGTTTTGTTATACTGTTCTCTTCGAGAGTATCCATAAGCGTAGCAGGTCTAATAACGAGCTCAGGTTTTCAAAAGTAGTTTATTCAGGATCAAAAAGATTTACTATCTATTGCAGTATAAACTTAAAAGTATACTTCAATTTAAAAGCATTTAAAGAAAGAAAATATTCGGACCCGATCTCGTGGATACGAGAGTCACTCGAACACTAACTCATCTATATCTCTTCGTCATCTGCAGTTGTGTATTTATAGCACGTCATCAGTTGCATTTAAGGTATTGCCAACTGCAAATGACTAAACGTCCACGGATCGGATTCGAAACTCGAATCCGAGATCACAGCACGGTAATTGGAAAAACATTAACTAGTTTTTGAAGTTATACTTCTTTTGGGGCGTTAGAGAAATAGGATGAGGGTAAATTTTTACAATGCACGCACACACTGTCACGGATGTGGTGCAAAACCGTCACGGATGTGACTCACACCGTCACGGATGCGAAAATCCTTTGTCTAGAAATATACAGAACGGGATAAATCATTCCCGCCTTCGAAATTCTCAGAAAAATATTTCTCTTCACTTCCCTAAAGAAGGGAACATCCGGGTTTGAACCATGAGTCTCTCGATCTGCAGTCGAATGCTGTACCACTGAGCTATAACCCCCGCGTTAGAGAACCTTTGCTTTGCGTTCCGTAGGAACGGATACGAAAATGCTTTGTCTAGAAATATGCAGAACGGGACAGATCATTCCCGCCTTCGACCCCCGCCCCATATTATTGGTCCTATTGTCCCTGTGCGGGGGGTGTTTAATTTATTTAAATCGTGATTATCTCAGGTTTGGGGCTGGTCCGATTGACTGAAGGTTAGTATCGTTCAACTCTGCTCGTGACCGCCTTTCGTCCTTGGCCCAGCTTGCCCTGCTAAAGATATTTAGAAAGATTTTAATCTTGTTGCGCCAAAGAAGTATAACTTCTTACGTGCGTACATAAGTACACACACTTTTTTATTATCTGATACTAGAAAAATAGCAAGGGAAAAGAGTATTACGCTAAATCCCAAAACGTATTATATAAATATCAAACTGTATGTACAAATGATACGTTTGAGTCTATTTAAAACACAATTCGTAGAAAATAAATTTTAGAATAAAACTATTTTATTTGTAAGAAAAAACAAGTAATATAAAAAAATAGTTTTTAAGTCAATTCCTACTTAGAACAACAACGAAAAATTTTATTTGAGCTACTTTTTATTAAATAGTTACAATTAATATAAATATGTATATACATAGGACAGAATCACAACATTAAGTGGTAATTAGTTTTTTTTAGTTATCATTAAAGTATCGTATTGTGTCCTTTTAATTTCAGTCCAACTGAATGCTTTAACACGTGAGTAAAAAACCTTTTCAAGTTTTGACACAAGTCGCCAAAAGGGTAGCTAAGTGGCCAACGTGGCTGCTTTTGTAATCCTTTGAATAATTAGTTTTAATCAATTAATTTTATTAATTACAATTAAATTATTGTATTATCATCCAAAATGATCCTCTATATAAAATTTCAGTTCAATTTAGCGCTTTAAAATGTATTTTTTTAACGATTGAAAATTCCACCAAGATAAATAAATAAATATACAAATATATAAATAAATAAATATATAGAGACAGTGCGAGCTAATAGTAGGAATTGAAAAAACGTAACGTACGAATATCAAACTGTGTACAAGTGATACATCTGAGTCTGTTTAAAACACAGTTCGTTTAAAATAAATTACCACGTAGTGGTTAAATCTTAGTATATAATAATGTTAAAAAAAAATCTTAGTATATAATAATGTTAAATCTTAGTATAGTATATGGTTAAATCTTGGTATTGTGTGTGTATGGTTAAATCTTAGTATAGTATGATTAAATCTGGTATAGAGGTAGTGGTTAAATCTTATCTTAAATCGAATATATGCAAAACGATTACATTTTTTCCTCACAAGTATTGTTGAAAAATATTTATAAATTACTTTCTAAAATTTTAATCAAACAGAGAATTCATCTATTGGTCAACTTTTAATAATCTATTTCAAACTTCATTTTAAGTATTTTTTTATATGAGACAGGTACATGCCTCTTTTACGCACAGGCATTTGTTGCTAGAATAAAAGGCTCCTGAATGTCCTTCAAGCAAGGTTTCGTACTCTGTTCGTCACATTTTGGTAGATATTGTCCTGTTTTTAATCATTATAACATCCCTTTTTTTATTATTCATCTGTTTTATCTGTCTCTGACTTGGTGGGGGATCCCCCCACACACACGCGAGCTCACCAGAATCTATTTGTTTCCACTTTTAAGATTGGATTTTTATATTTAATTTTAATTATAATTTTAAACAGTGTTTTAACCAGTACTTAGATACCAGGTAGGATTCAAAAGTTCACAAGATCAGTCGGTAAAGTGAAAAATTTTTGCAGTAGAGCGACTACGATAACATTTCTTCGAATCACTGCATTCTTCCCCTTTTCTAAAAAAGTTTGTCCTAAATCACATGGTCGGTGACTTGCCATGGAGTCGTATTTTGTAGGTGGATGCATTTAGTGCATTTAGTAGCCGGCGATTGAAAGAAATAGCGTTTGTTGAGCAGAGAATAATATCAAATTTTGTGTTAGCTTGGAAAAGAGTGCTACGAAGACTTAGGAAATGTCGAAGTATGTTTAACCCTTTATCTGCTGCATTATAATTTACTGCAGTTTTTTTCATACAATATATATTTTTTTTTGTGACTGCATTTAAAATTAAGGTATATACATACACAAAATACTCAACTTTGGGAAATTGTGAAATTAATTATATTCACTGTTCACTTAAAATAAAAGGTTAAATCGTTTTCTATCCTCATTAACATACAAAAAAAATAAGACAATTTTTTCAATCGGCTGAAAACGCCGTCAGCTCAAAACGCAATTTCTGCAATAAAACTATTAGCCTTCCCCACTAAATTACTCATCATGGAACCCGTGCTGCCGTATATCATGGAAGAGTGGATTTCAAAGAATATTCCTGTAAGTATTGTCAAAATATTCGTAAAATTGGTTATTCTATGTTATTTTAAAGTGAGTGGTACTTTTAAGTACCGTCGGTAGATAAAGGGTTAAAAGGCAGTGATACATTATCGCGAACGCAAGATTTTGAATTTGAACGCAACACGTTTCTGAGAAAGCAGGGAAGTGTCAAAGTTGACGAACGCTCTGGACGTCCATAGAATTCCCTCACCGCTGAAAGCATTGAAAAGTTTTCTACGGCAGCACTTAAGAACATGCTTCAAAACATGACGGGGTGAAAATAAAAACAACTGTTTTGCCGCATCCTTCGTACTCCCCTGATTTCACTCCCTGAAACTT